ACACACACACACACACACACACACGTAGACAGACTAACAGACAGAAAGAGAGACAGAGACAGAGATAGAGACAGACAGATAGACAGAGACAGAGAGAGGCAGAAACAGATTGAGGGGGAAGGGAAAAGCAAATCATGTCAATGGGTTTAAAGAAAAAAAAAAAAGATGTCACACACGACATTGAGATTGCCATAAGACTACACAACATGCACTTCAAGTCTACACTTTCAACCTGTTACGTTTTCTTATTCCCCAAGGTTTCAAATCTAGGTCACCGGAATTTCCTCCGCCTTCTTTTAAGCCCTCCGGACATTGCTCAGATTGGACAAAGGTCTAAAATGTCCGGTTTGCTTTCCCGAGGAGACACAAAGGAAAAGTGTCCCCTCGAATGAGTTGCGCGTATGCTTTTAGACTCATCGAAGACCAAAATCGCTCAGTGTCGTTGTTCAGTATCCGTATTCATTGTTGAAACTCGTTCAAAGAGAGATTCTCATGTCGAATTATGTTTTAGCTTGTAAATCGAACCTTTCGACTTCGACAAAGTGACACAGTGAGCACATCTATTAACTGCCACATGTCACTCCATGACCACACTGGTGCAGACTGAACCATCGTTACCCCAAGCTTCTTCTTCAACAAGAAATCAGACTTTTCTATTCCGTGCACCAAGTCGCATTAAATCTCAAATCGAGGCGCTTGGCCGGTCAACAGCGGCTAGTGTTTGCTCCAGTTATTACTCGTCCACCGTATACCCCGCATGGACGGCGCAATCGATGAATGTCCAAGACGATCTTGATTTGAATAAACACGGAAAATGTGTGTCTTGCCTCGGATTAGACATCCATCTTTTGTGGTCTTTCTTTTTTTTGTGTGGATATGATGTCAGTTCCGAAAAGAGGCAATGGAAAAAAGGCATTGATTATGTAAATCAAAATTATTCGCTAACCAGAAGATGCCGTTCCTAATAACGCAGAGGCACGCGTGAATTATGAATGAAGAGGTCACAGGAAGCAGTAAATTTTGCAAATTAAACGCACTGTCAGCCTAATGGTTAGGTTTTACGACTATCAACCGTTACGTTGTGGGTTCGAATCCCACTAGGGACCCGAGGTTACGATCCTTTAAAAGGCGTTGTACACGAATTTTCTTCATTTAAGTGGGAATGGGTTTCCGGGTATAGACAATTAAATATCTGATCGGTTTATTAGTGTTTCAGCGCACGTAATCCGCAACTTGCACTATACTTCTTGCTTCCAGGGAAGCCGAGAAAGTTTCTGAGTTGTGTTCTAGTGGCTGCTTGGGTAATAATTCGCAAAGAGCCTTCTAAGAAGTGTGCACTTGAGCAAAACGAAATAAGACTATTATTATCATTAGATAAGATCAAATAAAATTTTATTGATCTCCGGATAGAGAAGT